TGTGTGAAGGCTTTAAACGAATTGACCAATCATAGTTGAGAATATATAATATGGCTGCCATAATTTTTTACTATGATTGGTCAATTCGTTTACTGCTTACGTCTTATTGCTTAATGCGGGGTCTACAATGAAGGCCTTCACACATAAAATTCCGTAAGAACGTAAAACGTAAGCATAAGAAAATCGACCAATCACAGTCGAGAACGTAAGGCAATGACGCAAGCAGTAGCAAATCCAACCTGTTGATTTTCTTACGCTTACGTTTTACGTCCTTACGGAATTTTATGTGTGAAGGCCTTGAGAGTCGCAGAGCCGCAGTCGTAAGAATAATCGACTATGACCCCTGGTCCACAATCTTGCTTTAAATAAGCTGTAAGCCTTAAGCCGTAAGAAATTAACCAGTCACAGGCATTTATTCCCCTCACTCTCACCTGCGATTGGTTAATTTCTTACGGCTTAAGGCTTACAGCTTACTTAAAGCAAGATTGTGGACCAGGGGTGATTGGTCAATTCTTATGTGCCTGACGGAATTGACTAATCACAGTCGATTATTCTTACGACTGCGACTCTGCGACTCTCATTGTAGACCACGCATAAGTCCCAGTCTACAATAGAGATTTAAGCCTCCGCTACAATGATTCTCGGTTCTGTCTACAATGGTCGTAGTCGTAAGAATAATCGACTGCGATTGGTCAATTCTTATCGAGCGACTACGACTACGATCATTGTAGACAGAACTGAGAATTATTGTAGCGGAGGCTTTAAACCCTAAGCCTTAAGAAATTGACTAATCACAATCGCGTATTCTACTCGTACTTGACCGTGATTGGTCAATTTCTTAAAGCTTAGGGCTTAAATCCTCTATTGTAGACTGGGACTAAGGTCATTTGTGTGCCACGGCTCTTAAGCGGGGAGCACACACTTTTGCATAAGCGCGCAAGCGTATGCATAAAGAATTTGATTGGTCTATACGCAAATGCACAAGGAAATGGACCAATCAAATTCGTTATGCATATGCTTATGCACTTACCCCTGGTCCACAATCTTGCTTTAATTAAGCTGTAAGCTTCAAGCCGTAAGAAATCAACCAATCACAGATGAGAATGAGAGGAATAAATGCCTGTGATTGGTTGATTTCTTACGGCTTGAAGCTTACAGCTTACTTAAAGCAAGATTGTGGACCAGGGGTTGTGCAAAAGTGTGTGCTCTCCGCTTTAGCTGCAACAGTTCCGTAGTCGCTTACGGGCTAGCAGACGCGGCTTAGGTCGGCAACTCCCTAGCGCTCCTAGCGGACGAAAGTGGCTGCGCGGATCCTCATTATATCGACCCTTACCTAAGCGTAACTCGTTGAGCATTTGCTCGATGCCTTTCATTTTCTTTTGACCGAGACTGCTTGGCAATTTGATTCTCTGAGAACGAAGAGTAACGCCGCTATTCTTAAAATCGGGAAATTTAATTCCAGCTGACTCCACTGCCTGTAAATTAAAATAAATGTCTCGATATATACGTAAATGTACCATAGTACACAGAATATAGAGGAATGTCTCATGAGATAGGCTTTTAATACAAGACAGCAGATTCTCAACGTCCAATTTAAATCACAAATCTTCTTTCGCTACGATTACACGATCTAACAATGAATTTTCTACTAAACAGATTTCACTCCAAGGGCAATAAATTTATGATGGAACCAAACGATGCCTATTAATTTAGCGGAAACCCTGCTGTCTCATATTAGGTGCCTGTCTCATAATAGAGGATTTTCCTCCAATTTTGACGTACGTGAGAAGTATCAGTTTTATTCGGTCTATTTCTAGAAGAGCTGCTGCTCTTCTTGGAAGATTTCCTCTCGCTCTTTCTGGGATCCGCCTGATGATCGGCCGCTGTTATCAACTTCTGCAAATCTTGCGTCTTCCTGTCTCTCTCCTTTTTCCTCTGCTCGATCTTGCGCAACTCGGCCAGCAGAGTCTGTTCTTCCTCCACCTGTTCAGGGGTGCGTTCAAACAACTTCTTCAGTTGTTCCTTCCTGCGCTTCTCATGTTCGGCATCAAAGACGTACACCTTGTCAGTGTGGGACTTTGCCTTTATCAGCGCAGCGCACACCTGATAATACCTGTGGATTTACTTCAAATGACAAACGCATCTCAAAATAGCACATTCGAATCGACGGGAACGCAAATCTTATGCCTTGCCTCTCTTTCAAGTCTTCTACAGATCTGGTAGGAAACTTGGCGCGATCCCATCTGTCCCTGATGATGATAAACCTGAGGTCGAATCTTCTGCACAGATCGAACAGGTGATCGGTCTCCGCTCGCGTCCAGCCGTTGGCCACCAAGTGCTGAACGTATTCCGTATTCGTGTACGTAGGAATGGGAACTTTCTTATTGAACTTTGCGAAAGGATACTCCTTGCCGGCGTCGGCGACGCGCCGCCAGTGATGGAAGATCGCGCCGTCCGTACGCGCCGGATTGGTAAACGGCGTCCACTTCCACGGCCTGACCCTCTTCATGCCGAGCTTAGCTCGCACCTGCTTGTACCCCTTGGCGGTGTCGGTCGGGAACAACGGCGGCACGTCGTTGTTATCCTTGCAGAGGAGGGCGAACACCTCGCGGTGCATGCCCTCGGGGCGTTTCGGCATTTTGTTGTAGTCATACCGCCTGCGACTCTTCTTGTCGCTGCCCAGTATCGACTCTTTCGTAAGCTCCGTCGTCGTCGGCATCTCGATGTCCAGAATGTCGCGTACGTCCGCCATCGCGAGGATTACTAGTATTTCCTTGCGCACTACTTAATTTAAAGGATACGTTTAGGGCGTTTACAGCCCGTCGTTCAACGGGAGATCACAAAAAAAATAGTATTCTCTCGCGAAGACAGCCTCTGTGTTTCGAGGTTAGATTTTCGCTAGGTTAAAGCATGAATGTAAGAAAGTATAGATGCAGTGTAAGCAATTCTTCCGGCCGAGGGGGGGGGGGGGGTGAAGTCCATCTGCAGCCATTGATTGGTTGGAAAATTAGGTCCTGTGCACAACAGAGGAACCAACTTAATTAAGGCCGGTATTCATAGTCGATTCTTATTTCAAAATCAATGAGCGCGTTCCGGCAAGACACTGCTACCGTAGCGCTACAGCTTTTTCGCTACAATTGTAGCGGTGCCCCATGTGCGTTCCGGCAAGACACTGCTACCGTAGCGCTACAGCTTTTTCGCTACAACTGTAGCGGTGCCATATATACTAGCGTGCATAACCTCAAAATTGAATTTTAATTGTAAAAGTTGTGTTTACCAATTAATTGAAACGAATAGAATGGAAAATATTGAAGATTGGCTCATGAATGACATATTGTTCGATGATTCATCAGATGAAAGCAACGATGAAGAGGAAGAAGTTCTAGGACTCATTTTATATGACTTACGAGGTAAAAAATAGTTAATTTTGTAATAATAATAATTGTGGCAATCTTTAAAAATACAAACTTTAATAATCTTATATCCATTTCTTCTTCCACATTAAATTTTTCTTTGTATCCGTTTCTTAGAACAAGGAAACAACGCCAAGGTTTTGAATATTTTGGCAGATGGAATACTTAATGAAATATTTTATCCTGAAAGGCAGAATAATGAAATTGTAAATTTACATTATTTTGAAGAAGTAATACCACGTTATAGCGACAACCAATTTTATTTGCATTTTAGAATGCATCGAGGAACATACATGGTAAATATAATTTATATCTAACCATTATAGTAGGCATTATCCAATATTTACGTTCTTTATAATTAATTCTTTTATTTTCAGGATAATTCTTTTATTTTCAGGAATTGGAAAATATAGTGAGACCTCTAATTAGACAGAGAGAAAATGATATACCATTATCGAAGAAACTATTTTTAACAGTTTGGATTATAGCCACGCCAGAAAGTTTTCGATCAGTTGCAGATAGATTTGGCCTATCCAAAGGTATAGCTTGGAAAGCTTTTAAAGAAGTGGTTTGGACGCTAAGAAGAATAATGCCACGTTTTATAAGATGGCCAAATAATGAGGACTGTGAAGAAAGTGAAAAAGTATATTATTTTGTTTCCAGTTTATGTAGTATTTTGAATAATTCTTAACAATTTTAACTGTTTCAGACTGTCTTATTTTTTTAAATTTCATTTTATCTAATAATATAATTTTGTATCAAATCACTTGAAATAATAAATACTTAAATATTTTCTACATTCAATGTTTGATTTTAGATTTTTCGAATTCGATCAAGAGGATTTCCGGGTGTTGTAGGAGCTATTGACGGCTGTCATATCGCAATTAAACAGCCGCCTAGGAATGCAAATGATTATTATAACCGCAAAGAATTTCACTCTATTATTTTGCAAGGTAGAACTTAACTATACTTATTTAACTTACTTTGTACACAATTTTTGGAATAATTATACTTTATTACAGGTGTTTGTGATCACACAGGAAAATTTATCGACTGTCTTATCGGTCGACCTGGACGTGCACATGATGCAGCAGTTTTTCGGAGTAGTATTATTTACACCAGACTGACAGACCAAGAAAGCCCACTTTTACCTGCTCAACGACATATTATAGGTGATTCTGCATATCCGTTACTTCAAAATGTGATGACACCATTTCGAGACAATGGAAATTTAACTCCAGAAAAGCTTATGTATAATACTAGACTTTCCTCGATACGATCGATAATAGAGCGTGCATACGGATTGCTGAAAGGAAAGTGGCGAAGATTGAAGTATCTTGATGTGCAAAGTACTGAAATGGCAAATCATATTATTGCAGCTGCATGCACTCTTCACAATTTCCTTATATTACGTAATGAAATTGAAATAAAAGACAATTTAAATATTAACGAATATATTGAGCGTGAAGATCAAGACAGCGATGAAAGTGATAATAATGAATGTCTAGGTGACAATGGGCGACTAAAAAGACAAGAAATTGCGAACAGGTTTCAAATACTGTAACGTGCAATGTTAAGAAATTTGAAATCGTATCACCAGCCCTGAAAACCAGCACATATTTTTTTATGAATCCACCAATTTAAAAATCAAATAAGTTTTATTCACGCACATGCACACACACATGACACATACACACAATACTTAAAAAACATTTTAATTTAGTTTTGTAAAAAGTATTTTGTACAGATTTTAAATATTGTTCCTGAAAAATTATAAGATTAAATTAAATAAAAAATGAACACAAAAGTTTTTGTACTATTAATTTTTATTTAGAAGTATCATTCTTAGATTTTAATAACATGTACAATAACTCATTCTTTTTTTCTAATATGTCGATTTTCTTTTTAGCCAATTCATTTTTTGTTTCTAATGCAGTCGCAAATCTTTCCAACTGTTTTTCAATCATATTTTTAGACTCCTGTTTCTTCTCTATGCTTTCTAAAATGTTGATTTTTCTTAATTCCAGTTCTATGGCTTTATTTCTTTGGTTATACAGTTTCTTTTTATTTAATGGTGTTCCTTCATTGGAATCTCTGGTAGAAGCATCATGAGTACTTGTTTCATCATTTAAAATTGAAGACTGTTCATCAAATACGTTACTCAATGATGTCGATGGTCTCTCACTGCTACTTTCTAAATCACTGTCCGAAAACGCATTATAATTTGATGAAACAGAATCAACGTAATTCAAAAATATTGTACTGTTATTAATATCATTGAAGTGTTGAAAAGATAAGGTTGGTGACGATAACCTGTGCTTTGAAAAATCTAGAGCTTCGTTAGTAGAATCTTGCCCACTCTCCATTGATGAAATTCCTTCTTCGAAATTTACAGACTTATCCATATTGAAAATTTCATCCATCTCGTTGTAAAACACCCAATCCTCGCGGCCTCTTCCAGTTTTTTTCTTATTATTTTTTATCCGTTTATACGTTGACTTCATGTTTCGCATTTTCCGATCGATACTATGGGCATTAATTTTTGAATATCCCAATGCCTTCATTTCAGTTTCCATTTCCTTCCAAAGGCGACTTTTTTTAAATTTGGGATTCCGAAATTTTGAGAGCCGCTCCAGATATTTTGCTAACATCATTTTAGTTGATTTACGATCCCATAATGCTTTTGAATCTAAGACACAATAAATAATAATAATAATAAACTAAAGTTAATTTAGCTATATTAAGTAATGCTTACCATTATCACTATCATCGATGCATTCAGTATCATCAACATGCGATTCTGTTGCATCATAAGTAGATAAATTTGCAAAATATTGTGCACAGTAAGTTTCATCTGGAACAAAATAAATATTTCAAAATATTATAAATTTGCTCATCTTTAACCTTTGTATAACTAATCCCAGAGAACATGCATGTTTAAAAGACATTTTTAAGACGTTTATTAGACGTCTTATGTCTAAAAGACGTCTAATAGATGTTTTAAAGATATCTTTTAGACATGCATGTTCTCTAGGAATGTTATTAACCTAGTTATAACGTTAATTTGTGTTTCTTATCACCAATATGCTTGCTTACCTGTTTGCAGTTTCATATGAATTTCGTATGGCTCGTTCACTTCATATTCTTTGTTATTGTGATTATAAATAACTCTTTCCATCTTCATTAATGTTTATCTCCTTTGTTGTAGAGTATAACCTAGCAATCCTTGAGCAGTTATGAAAAATGGCGACCGCTGCAGTTGTAGCGGAAAGTTTTGCCGAAACGCACTCGTGTAGCGCTACCGTAGCGCTACCGTAGCGCTACGGTAGCAGTGTCTTGCCGGAACGCACTCAATAAGAACGGACTATGAATACCGGCGATAGTCCGTTCTAATATTTAAAGCCAACGGCTATTTTTCCTACTGGATTCCTTACAAGAGCCAATTACAAGAGCCAGTAGGAAAAATCTGCATGATATTTACATCAACTTTTCTCATGATAGACAATTGCACATAGCACGGAACACAACCAAAACGTGCACACCTGCGTTATCCGCTTAGCCCAAACGTGGACGTTGGCTACGTAGTTCATGTCAACGTTTTCAATGTCCACAGAGGGCGCATGTGGGGCATGCGAGGCACACAGACCTTACGTAATCACGTTGTTTTAACAATAAAAAATAAAAGTTTGCAGTCTCACGACGTATAAAAAATTAGAGATGACATAGAGATTCGACGCAATGTCATCTCGAAAACTATTGTAAATTCTCTTCCACTGTTACAATAATATGAACACAAACCTGTGGCTATTGTGCCATTAAGGGGATGCTGGAGTGATTCTGCACTTTCGCACCTTTTGCACTTAAAACTGTCTGTTTCGTGGAAAGATTTGTGTAATACACAAATTAAATGGCACGTGTACAGATGATCGAAAGCAGCTTGCTATTCCGGCTAAATT